ATATTGGTCTACAATTTTCTTTTTCATGGTGTATTATTTAGCTTTGATAGTAGAGTGATGCTTGCCTCATGGAATAAATTTGGGAATATTTTCTATGTTCCTATGTTTTGGAATAGTTTGAGTAGAATTGATGTCAAGTCTTCTCTAAATGCTTGGTAGAATTTGCCAGTAAAACTGTCTGAACTAGGACTTTTCTGTTGCTGTTAGGAGTTTTTTTAAGGGACTTGTTTGATTTCTTCTTTTGTTATGAGTCTGTTCGTGTTTTCTACCTCAGTCTGTGTTAGTTTCAGTAGATAGTGTGTTTCTAGAAATTTATCCATTTCTTTAAAATTTTCAGATTGGTTGGAGTATAATTTTTCATAGCATTCTGATATTAACCTTTCTATTTCAGTTGGTACCTTTGTGACATCACTCATTTAGTTCTTATTCATGTTATTTATATCTTCTCCTTATTTTCCTTTATTAGATTTAAAGTGGTTTGGTCATTTTATTGTTTTTTTTCCAAAAAAGCAACTTCTAGTCTGATTCTTTCTATTGTTTTTCTGCTTAAGTTACATCTTTCAGAATAGTTGGAATAATTTTATGGAGGACAGATGTAACATGGGCTGCACAGTAGAAATACCTTCATAAAGAAGACTGGCACATCTACCCAGCACTGAGTGTCATGTGGGAAAGACAGTAAGTTCGCAGTTACTATTGGAAAGACCAGAAATTAACAGTTACAGAGGGTGGAACAGCCTCGGCCACCTTCCTCCAACTGAAAGAATTCTTCTTGAGTGAGGTCATGCCCAAACTGTATGCTTGTGGTTTTGTGATAGGTATCTTTGTGTTTGTGAATTCAAGTATAACAGCCTACAGGACACATGATATTACTGGACTCAAGGAGACATTTATTGAACTCTGATGCTTCTGTATATGGAAAATGGGTAGGTACCAGGTTTGTATCTCTGACTTTGTATCCTTCTCTGTTCCTAGAGTCCATGGCGATGTTTTCTAAGGAGCAGCCTGCACAGAGTGAGGTACAGGCCGAAGCGGGAGCCAGCACCACACTGAGCTGTGAGGTGGCTAAGGCCCAGACAGAGGTGGTGTGGTTCAAGGATGGGAAGAAGCTTAGTCCAAGCTCAAAGATGCGCATGGAGTCCAAGGGCTGTAGGCGGCAGCTGGTGGTGCAGCAGGCAAGCAAGGCAGACGCTGGAGAATATAGCTGTGAGGCTGGAGGCCAGAAGGTGTCCTTCTACCTGGATGTCATAGGTAGGTGACTATTAGCCCTATTTGAGGAAAATGATGGGACTGACTTATTGCTCTCATGGATCCTGTTGTTATGGGTAAGTGCCATTGAGTCAACTCTAATTCATAGTGACCCTGTATAGGGTTTCCAAGGAGTAACTGGTGGGCTTGAACCACAGAACTTGTGATTAGCAAGCAGTCCAGTGTTTATCTTACAATGCCACACCAGGACTCCTGATGGATCCTAGCATACTGTAATTCTGGGCTTTATGTTTTCTTGTCTCCCATTCTCTCACTATCCCACATTTCTGTGGGGAGCAAAGGAGGCTGACTCGAAACAGTGTGTACTGAAGGTAGAGGATCTGTTCTTCTTCCCCACAGGTGGTGTTTCCAGGTAGAAATGATTAGCCAAGCTTTCCCAGCCTCTGCCCAGAACAAGCTATACTCCTTGTCTTCTTTGGTTTCCAAGACTCTGACTCTCTTTGATGTTTTGGGGTCTGAGGTCAATCAGACACTTCTCAGCTGTCATTGTTAAGTGCTGTCAAGTTGGTTCTGACTCATAGCAATCCTATATATACCAGAATGAAA